GGTGGGCGCGGAAGTGGGGGGCCGCCCTGCCGATGCAGGGGACACAGGTTCGTGCCCTGGTCCGGGAAGATCCCACATGTCACAGAGCAGCTAGGCCCGTGAGCCATGGCCGCTGAGCCTGCGCGTCCTCCGCAACGGGAGAAGCCACAACAGTGAGAGGCCCGCATACCGCAAAAAAAAAAAAAAAAAAAAAAAAAAAAAAGGACAGTTAGGATGATGGCAAAGACACTAGCAAGGGGGGCCTGGCTGTAAGCTCCTAATTCTGGTTGTAGCAACCCTGCCCGACTCTGCAGCCTTCCTCCTCCCGTCCACACCGTATCCCTCGCAGAAAACCAGTGCCGCTCCTCTGAGACCTCAGCCCCTAAGTTAAGCCTAAAATGTTCTTCCCCTGCCCCCCACCCCCCACCCCCCACAATGATGGGGGCTGAAGACATAGGCCAAGATTTGTATCATTAACATAGCAGGGCTTCGATCATGAAAACAATAGGCTATTTTTGGTTTTGTTTTAGAAACACAAAATTATATTGTGCTGATGAAGGGGCAGTCACTGCCTCACTCTGCAGCACGGCTGCAGTTCCTTCTCCGCCTGCCAACGCCCACCCCGGCTCAGGAATCTCCGCTCATTGTTGGAATAGCCTGTGTGCCCTTTAGCCAAGCTCTGAGTGTCTTTCTCAGCTGACATGATGATCTAGACTCTTGGAGGACACGGGCTGTAGCTGGTCCACACTGGGGGCCTACTGACCATGTGAGGGCTGGTCCCAGCCTGGGCGACCCGTCCACGCTGTCGGAAGGAGACACAGATGAACAGGAGGGGCAGCAGGAAGGCAGTTCTCCATGTCAGGGGAGGGCCTTTCCCAGCGGGATGCCGTGAAATCATCACCTTCCTCAGGCACGCCTTTTGCGGCACTCAAGCCCCTGCAGATGCCCCTGCTGCCAGGTCCTCACCTCCTCCCTGATGTGTTCCACCTGCTCCTCCAGCAGCTCATTCCTCTCGGTTAGTGTCTTGTTCTTCTTCAACAACGACTGGCCGATCCGAGCAGCCAACTCTAGATCCCGCTCTTTCTGTGAAAGGCAGAAGCGAGAGCAGAGGTTGAGAAAACCCGCGCTTCCAGCAGGAGCCCGCAGAACTCACTGTCAACTGAGGAAAACAAGCGCGTTCAGCAAGGACAAGGGAATCAACTAATTCACCATCCACGCACCAGCGTCTGATGCCTGTTCAAAGAGGAGCTCACTCAGCTACCAGGGCCCCAAGCAATGAAAGGGAACCTTCCGATCTAATGAAAACAAGTCTCTTCCTACAGGAAAGACATGCTTCCAAAAATGTTTCTATGCAACTGCTTTTGGTCCTTGTGTAATCATTTGATAACCTATCTCTCTACCTGAAGGGCTGGGCTGTTGTATCGCCAGCACCCAGCACAGGGAGACACTCGGTAACTATTTGCTCAATGAATAAGTGAATCCAGAAATTCCAAAGTGCACTTAAAATAGCTAAGGCAGCCTCTCTGGCACACATTAAGCTGGAATTTACTGAGTTCCTTAGATTTACCGCGTATGAAACAAAAACGTTTAAAGTTACTCTAAAATAGGATACAGTTATGTGTTTCTTTTACTTATGGAAGGTAAGCTACTTACACTTTATTTTTTAAAAAACAGCTTTAAAAACGGAGAAACAATGCATAAAATTGCCCTACTTCAGAAACAAAGACTGTTGCAGACAGAATTTTCTGTTAGCTCAGTTGCTGACATTTAGAGCACAGCAGTGCACAGAGGAAAATCTTTACTGGCATACAAAGATACAGCTGCCTTTATGGGAGGAAAGCTGTTGCCTGACAGCGGAGACAGCGGGGTGGACGCCGTCACCAAAAGCAGACTCACTGATCCTTGCTGGTGAAGCTGCTGGCCATCACGAGTAGATGATGCACTTGCTAACTTTTAGGTGGGGATTGGCATGGGAAGGAGAACTCCGGAAAATGAAATCCTTTTAGAAGCCTACGCTAATTACTCCGTTCATCTGGTGTAAAAAAGCAGAAAAAGAGAGACATGGAGTTTTGAGCAGAAGAAAGCTGGGGACTCAGGAATCCTCGCTTCTGATAACCATGTAGTCTTACGGCTTCCACTTAACAAGGATCGGGTACCCTCTAGATCCATCTTTTCCAAACGCAGGTTATAAACCATCAGTAGGTTGAGAATCATTTTAGTCATGGCAACTGCCATTTTGTTTTAAATGACATTCAACAGCATAGAACTGAAATACCAAAGTGCATTCCACATAGTAAGGTTATCACTTCATGCTTAAATTTTGCTTGTCACACATTTACCGACAACCTACGAGGCATTTCTTATAGCAGGTACCCGTCAAAAGTTTAACTGCTCCAGGTGAACCGTTCTACCCTAAAATTTGAGAGTCTGGGTTCTGATTCAACATCCCTGGGACCCAGTTCCCTCGTCTGTGAGATGAGGTAGGGTGGACGGGCAGACTTGCTGAGGGACCCTTGGAAGAATCTTCTAGCTCTATGATTCATTGAGTTGTAAGATATTTCAAAAAGCATCTTTTATTTCTAACTTCTTATATATCCACCAAATTATACCATGCAATAGTAGCACACCTTCCTTTCTTTGCTCATCACGGGCGTTTCCCTGAACTACGAGCAGAGCACTGGAGGTAAGAGCATAGTTTGGGGGACCTGGATCCAACAGCGATTTGGCTCTCTGGAGCTCTTGCATAAATGATGGTCTCTCTCCCCTAGGTCTTCCATGGTCCTGAAACCTGTAACCGCTGTCCCAGAAGCCAGCTGGGTGTCATGTCAAGTGAGCCATAAATTCCTCCAACTCCTTCCCAATCTGTGCCTCCCCCTCATGCCCTCCCAGGGAACAAAGGGGACCAGTGAGTCTGCCCAACGAACCGAGACGCCCCTCTCTGTGCATTCATCCGTGCCGGCTACTGTGTCTTCCAAGGAGGGTCCTTATCTCAGTGGCCCTTTATTACTTTTCAGACACAACGGTTGTGCATATTTGGTACTGGGAGGAAATGACCCACAGGGATTGTGTGAGGGAACCCACTTCTACAGGGGCCGTCTCAAAATTAGCAACTAGTGCAGGTGGTTTCAGCTGGCTAACTCTCCGTGAAAACTGTAGTACCACTGTCCATTTCCCTTTGGAAGTGTGGTCTCCATAAATCTCACTGCAGTCTGTTAAATCTTTCTACTAGAGCAAGCCCTCAGACTGAATACCCAGCAGGTGCTTCATGCTCGTTGGCTCACTGCCTACTGTTCTGTGCTGCTTGCCGTCATGCAATCCAGCTGCTAAGTTCCAGCACACACAGACATTTCGTATGCAGATTTCAGTGCAAACAAAGCAAGCCAAAATCATAATGATGAAGACAGGCTGGGCAAGGCACTGATGAGCACGTGAAGAATGCTGAAGGCTTCCCACGGCACACAGGGGCCAGAACCCAAGAGGAATGGGACGCAGGCAGGGGAAGGAAACAAATGCTGAGGGGCTCAACAACGAAGCCCCTCGCCCCTCCCCACTATACCCCAATACACATCAAACCTCAGACTTGAAGGCCTCCTTGCCTTCCGGAGGGAACAACTCTCACTTTGTCTACACCCAAAATCTGATCTGTATAGTAACATAAAGAACATGCTCTGCTGGAAAAAAAAAAAAAAAAAAAAAAAAGAAGTTAGAGTAAAAATATTCAGAGATGAAATGAAATTCTTAAACAAAAAAGTCATCAGAAGGTCTCTGGTTTTTCTAAGGCAAAAGGCCAGTTGGGTTTCTCTTTAAGAATTTCAGTAATCGGGCTTCCCTGGTGGCGCAGTGGTTGAGAGTCCGCCTGCCGATGCAGGGGACATGGGCTCGTGCCCCGGTCCGGGAGGATCCCACGTGCCGCGGAGCGGCTGGGCCCGTGAGCCATGGCCGCTGAGCCTGCGCGTCCGGAGCCTGTGCTCCGCAACGGGAGAGGCCACAACAGTGAGAGGCCCGCGTACCGCAAAAAAAAAAAGGAATTTCAGTAATGAAAAGAGTCTCATTTCTTACAACCAGCCAACATGTGATAAATATTTACTTCGAAAACCAGGAAAACAGCTAGGAAATGACCACTGGATCAAACTCCAGTGAGAAAATGAGACGATAAATAAATCTCAATTTGGAAATCAGCTATTATAAGAACTGGTTCTTTTATTCCCCAGGAGATGGCGGTCAGGTGGGGCTCATTCTGGCTCTCGTAGCTCCCTCTCCGCAGCTATGTTTCGCTGAAAACTTAATGCACTGTAGGATATACGTATATGTATGGCTGATTCATTTCGCTGGGCAGCAGAAGTTAACACAACCTTGTAAAGCAACTATACGCCAATAAAAATTTTTTATAAAGGACTGTGACTTGTGTCTCAGCCCCTTTTAGCAATGACCATGAACACTCGAGCCGCCTGGCACGGCCCCAGAGACGGAGAGCTGCCTGCCTCCCATGCTGAGCCGCTGACTCATCTCATTCACCCATTTTGGGATAAAAAAGCATGACTAAGGAGCTCCTGGAATAACCCTCTCCATAACTGGGGAGGAGACAGCTTCGCCCAAAGGTAAATTCCGAACAGCAGCAAAAGCCAGGGCAAAGCTGCAGAATCCCCTTCCCCTTTAACCCGAAAGCAAGCTCTTCAACTGGCCAAGGGCTGTGCTCCGGCGTCCCATGCAAATCCCGCCAGCACCCCGCCTGCATGTGACAGGCGTGCAAAACCAAAGCAAACGACCAGAGGAAACGGAACCAAAGCCAAGAAGAGTACAGCACGGCACACCCTTCACACGACTGGGGCAATTAGACTTTAACCAGGAAACCCGCCTAGTTCCAAAGAAAGGCAGCAACTCAGATGTGATTCTTATCAGGAAAAGGAGAGGCACAGCGTTGTATATAAAACACGCTGATGCACACAGACCATGGCCATGGTGAGCTGTTAAAAATAAAACAAAAAAGCACAACAAAGAGCCACCTGAAGAGACTGCCCCACAAACATTCTTTTGAGCAACTCAGGTTTTTTTTAAAGACGACAGCATACTTTTGTATACAGTGACACTCATTTAAGCAATGAGCTGTGAAGTGCTGATGACCAGGATCTGCATACAGGGCTGGAGTCCCAGGCTCCTCTGAAGCGGTCCTCAAACATCCAAGCAGAGACGGGTCTGGCCCTGCAAAGTCCTCACCCAGCCCTGCCAGCTCACACCCGGCAGGAGCCAGGAACCATGGGCCATGGATACTCACTGAAGCAGCATCCCATTAAAAAAAAAGTTACCAGTTCATGTTTTTAAAGTAAAAATGTCTCATTGACAATCAACTAACCGTACTCCCCAAAACTAAATAAACAGGGCAGTAAACAACTACAGCCAAAATCAACAGGGCCACGTGCATAGTGGTTAAGGGCCCAGGCTGGAAATCAGCTGAGCCACCAGGTGTCGTCTGTCCTCTCAAATGCAGGTCCCCTCACAGTAGGATGGGGGAAACGGTGGCATCTACTTCTGAGAACTATCGTAGAATTAATGAGATGATGCACAGACGACACCCAGCTCTCAAAGTTTACCCTTAATAATAAGCGTGACCACAGAGGCAGACACTTATCAAAGGCCCATCATTTCCAAGATTAAAAGGGAGAAAGACATCAGGACCCAACAGGGTCCTCGCCCTGGAAAAACTTCTAACCAATCCAGTTGGATGAACAAAGCCAACAGAATGACAGGGTGGCTCCTGAGCTCAGGGCTGGCTGGGGCACGGACTACCTGGGGCTGGGGGAGTGTGACAGCTTCAGAGATCCCCAATGAGCCCTGCAGTATGACACTCAAGGCAAGAAAAGACAGAGGGGCCAAACGGTGCAAAAGGTCACAGGTGGGAGAGCAGGAGGCAGGTCCTGGTGATGAGTATTAAGAAGATACAGGAATGTGATCAAGTGTGTAGCCTTGAATGCCATGCCAAGGAGTTCTGAGTGTCGTGGGAAGCCGAGGTCATTAAAGAGGGCTTGGGAGGGTGGCAGCTGCAGGGAAGATGACAGCAGAGAGAAAACTCAAATCTCACTGCCAGGGCTCCAGGAGCTGGAGTGGTGGCCTTGGAAAAAAAATAATAAAGGTACAGACATAGGACCTCCCTCAGAAGACTTGAGGACTAACTGGGTATGGGGTGAGGATTTAGAAACAGGACACTGTTGGGGAAGATTGACACAGCAGGAAGGGGGAACATGGTAAAAACTATTTTCAGAAGTTGGTGGTGCCAACCAAGCTAGCCTACGAGGTCGCTAGTGCCAGCCGCCAAGACGGCTGCAACTGGAGAGTCACCAGAAGGCCATTGCCCTAAAATGCCTCACCAATGGCCCTGTCACAAGGCCAAAAAATCTAAACTCACTTATTCGGGGCTGAGGAGTTTGTAACTTCCCCGACATGCAGGTGGTCAAGCGGGTCTCGGCTCCTGCCCTGTCTCAGCTACACTGGGTCTACCCGTGGGTGGCCTTCAGAGAATGGGAGGGGAGTGTGTAGCAGGGCTGGTGAACCCTCAGGAACTTGAGGTAGGGGTAGGGGAGTATTGGAGGGGTCCAGCCCTCAGAGCGGGTAGGAGAACACTGGATGTGCAGAAGGGAAAAGTGCAGGGAAAG